TTGGACAAAGACATTTCCAATGCACAACATTTCCAATGCACAATGCTAGCCTGTGTGTACATTATGCATGACCGGGAAACCACACCAAACAATGGCAAGAATAAACTAGTAACTGCATCAAGCATCAATAAAAGACAAAGTGGATAAATTAGGAACTGTACTATAAGGATTTTTCCCATATTTGGCTCATCTCCTCTCAGGCTGGATTAAACTATCAGGCTGTTTTGCACAGCTGCTTTATACGGCATGCACTTCAGTATTAATGAATAAAAGCTGAAATAGAATTACTTGTCATTATTTCACTACGCTGTATATGTAATTACAGTGCATTTATACTATTATACCACAGCACTGTTGAAGTCTCGATTATGATTGGTCAGAAGGTGTTGATTAATTTTCTATAACAGATAGAGAAATAAAATAGAGGCTGGTGAGGGAATGACTGTTTATACCAGCTGGAATAAGTAGCCTGTGATAACAGGCATTCACTTGTTTTTCATTCCACAGCACTAAACGTAACTATAAATGGATAAAAATGTATGACGTGCTGCTGTTTAATTCATTGAAAAATGTCATTATTAGCAAACTGCTGTGGCATAAGAAGAAAAAAATACATCAGACTTGCTGTAATGGGAAACTAATGGGAACTTTGGGGTGGTAAACACAGGTCACATGACACCACCCTTCATTGATTAGTTTCCTATAACAGCACACCCCATTGTGTTTTATTCCTTATATTGCACCAGTCAGTGTTTGAATAAAATCAATCAGCCAAATGACTAAAAATATTATGTAATACATACTCTTGGTTGTCAATTTACAAGGTGGGTAATTTGCAATGTTTTTGGTGTAATTTGAAGAACAAAAGCAGCCAGATCATTATGGCAAGCCAGAGGAGAAAGTACCTTTTAGGTATAAATGTTCTACATCTGCTCCATGAGAGTAATAAAACGTAAGTGCACAAACCAGGTCTACTGTACTCGCTGATTTTACAATGCCTGAACAAAATTTCAGGCAAATTACAAAATCTTCAGTGCAGCGTGAGCATAATATTGTAGCTGAATCAGGTAACATTAGCATTTTAAACATTACTGACATAACCTAACTACATGCAGTATATTTAATACTTTCATGTGTTACCAGGTTGAAGTTCTGCTATCAGACTTGTAAGACGTGTTTGTGTGGTTTCACAGAAACCACACAAACACGTCTTATGTAGGATATGTTCTAATGTGTTTTAATATTGTTAAATGTTTAGGTAAAATGTCTTCTTTATGAAAGACTTTTAAAAAGTGAACTGTCTTGTAAAAGCACTGCAAAGCATATACAGTGCCTCCAGAACGTATTCACCCCCTAATGATTATTTTCTTTCTTGCTGTATTGCAACATCAAATTTAAGTATATTAGAATGGATAATAGATTTTTCTCCCTGCTCCTTTTGAAGTGACTCTTTACAGAAATAAAGTTAAATAAATTATTGAGATATCCTCAGAATTACAGTGGGGTCCAAACGTCTGAGACCGTACTGAAAATCTGGGATAGTTTTTTCATTTAAAATTGAAAAATAAACAGAAGGTTTTAGAATTTTGAAATATTTAATACAAAGAAAATAAATGTTCAGTATATTGAATATTTAATATTCTGCACTATTTCTAGGTCCCTGTTTAAATGTAAACAAATATGATATCACCCATGTACTCATGACATGTACTCATGCCTAATCTCTTCTAGTGAAGCATGTGTTCAGACGACACTCCGATGGATTTGATCTAAAATGGGTCATAAGGTTTTGCACAAACTTGTGTAATCCATACCAGCTCAAGTGCACACTGTCATTAAAGCAAAAAGGGGACGTACCAAATACTAAGAAACTCTGAAATTCATGTAAATATTTCAAAGATTCTACTTTTCACCCAAGTTGATGTCAATAATATATTTTGTAATGAAAATTGTTGTATTAAATTAGAAAAGAGTGATAAATAGAAGCATTTTCACTAGTGGTCTCAGACTTTTGGACCCCACTCTATATGTGGTCTTAATGCTCAAAATTAATGCTCAGTTATATCTTTTATTAGTTATTTAAACGGGTGCTTAATAAGAAACTGACAGATTGAACCTTATAAAATCGAATAGTGTTTGATCATAAAGAATAATAAGATTTATCTGTATTTGGTTGGTGTTCAAATTGCTTTCTATTTGTCGTCATTTTGATCAAGTAAATTTGAAGCAACCTTAAAGTGTAGCCCTTGTTGAGCTGTAAATGTAAATTACAGTAGTGTAACATTTTGCTAGCTTGTACAGTCAACACTGTGATGTCCCATAAAATGGCTCTTCACCCAGATAGAACCATATAATACTAAGGACCATTCTCAGCACAGCAGTCACACTGACATAATTGAGGTATGACAGTATGTGTGTTGTCTTAACAACAACGACAACAACAGTAAACTATAGTCTCGAACTGTACATCTACATTCCATGTACATTCCTGCTGCCTTAAAGGAACCATAGAAGCATTGTAATTCCTGCTTCACTTTTAGTTATGTCTCTGGTTCATGTGAGGCTCAGGTTCAGATATGGCAGTCTTAAAATAAGCTGTATTAAAATAAAAGTACTGTGCCTTTACCTTGGAGATATGAGCAATCATGGACACACTCCTCGGCTCCCCATCAGTGTCTTTGACCAGAAACTTTTCTCCAAAGTCACAGAACAACTGTCTACAATTAAGCAATAAACAGAAACTCTTATAAATTCACAACGTTCATCTTAAAATTCAATGAAAACAGGTTATCTATTAAATTATCACTATTAAAGCACTAACAATGTAGTTGTAGTTTTCCATACATTTCAGTCTTGATCACTGAATAATAAAAAAACTGTTATCCTTACCCACAAAGTCCTTTGGTGTCAGCCAAAATAAATTTGATGTTGTTGGAGTGGCAGAATGCAGCCACTGAAAGCTGCTCTTCTAATGAGGAATCTGTGAGAACCACCACCTAAAATCATTTTGGACAAAGTTTAGATATAGATGACTCCCTGCTATTTTATTACTTGTTAATTATGCTTATATGTACAAGTCAAGGTTTTTGTATGACCACTATAATGAGGTAAAATAATATTTGTTTCCTCAGCTATGCTAATTATGCATAGTTAATTATTCTGTAGAGGCCTAGTAAATCAAGATACCATGATGGCTACCTGCTGCTTATTCTTATTTTAATTGTAATTTGTTGTTCTTCTAGTGGCACTAATAAAGGTTGTGACTGTCTCAGTGGTGTTGCGTTATACTGTATTTGAGAAGAAACAGTGGAACTAAAATTACTAATAAAACTTCTAATTACACAAATCTGTAAGACTGGAACTCTCTGGCATCTGCAATACTAATCTTATACTAATCACCTTGTGTGTTGCACTGTATGGAAAATTCCATCCATTCATCCATTTACTGTACCGCTTATCCTACACAAGGTCATGGGGGAGCCTGGAGGCTGACCCAGGGAACTCAGGGCACAAGTCAGGGGACACCCTGGACACCCTCACACACTAAAGACAATTTGGAAATGCCAATCAGCCTACAACACATGTCTTTGGAGTGGGGGATGAAACCCGAATACCCAGAGGAAACCCCCGAAGCACAAAGAGAACACGCAAGCTCCATGCACACAGGGCAGAGGCGGGATTCGAACCCCCAACCCTGGAGGTGCGAGGCAAGCGTGCTAACCAATAATCAGGAAAAGTAAGAAGATCACATCTACCTGGAATTTGTGCAGAAAGTCCTTATTTAGGGTTTCGGTATGGGTGGAAAGTCGAACATTGCTATTTAAGCGGGCAAGGTGTTTTTCAGAACAAACTGCCCGGTTCTTCCCCAGGTCACTCTCTTTTAGGTAAAACTACAGAGAATCAGAGAAAACAAAAATGCAGTTAAAGCAAGTAGAAACAAAGGAAGGGTATGCATAAAAGACTTGTACTACTTCAGAATTGTCTTTTTATCAATCAAACGCATTCTTGCTCGTCTCTGGACTTTATGTGTACTTTATCCCTGTTCTTAGAGGACCATCTTGATTACAGAAGCTCACTACCTGAGAGGACAGGTCGCCCCATTCGGTCGTCCCCTCGTCGTGGATGGTGACTGAACCAACTCCAGCCAGAATTACGTTCTTGGCCACCTCCACCCCGAGACCTCTCATCCCACATATAAGGACATTTGCCTCTCCCATGCGCCGCATTGCATCATGGCCCAGGACATATCTGTGTAGGTTCAGAATGACCAGTTACACCATTCAGCTGACCTCAGATCAGATAACAGCAGAGTCCCACCTACTCAAGCTCAGTACATGTATAACAATCACAGCTTGATCATCATAATGATCAGGGCTTTGAATGAAAGATTAGAACTTTGTGGCTTGGATGTGGGGTCTCTCTTTAAAAGACTCATTCAAAAATAACCTGAATCACTTGCCTCGACCTTTCAACACGGATGCAGTCAAAGCTTTCTTCATCAAATATGAGTGTATAATACTCACAGCTGCCGTGAATATAAGCCCTCGTCTATGTCGGCTTGCTCCATGGTTGTGGAAGATATGCTCAGCTGTGCTTTCAGTGACAGAGCTGAGAGAAAGCAAGCGCTTCTTTTTACTTTCGTTTCTGCCGGCAATCTTACAGAGTGACGCAAGAAGCACTATGACGCAAGCAGAAAAGTCACATGTTGCATTACTTCCGTGTAACCTTTCTGCAGTAAATCTGTTGCAGTATCTTTTCATTAGATATGTTCCCATGTTGTTTTTTTTTTTGTTGGCAACAATTTTGGCAACATTTTTAAACTACCACCACCACCACCACCACCACCATCATCATCATCATCATCATCATCATCATCATCATCATCAGTAGTAGTAGTAGTAGTAGTAGTAGTAGTAGTAGTAGTAGTAGTAGTAGTAGTAGTAGTAGTAGTAGTAGTAGTAGTAGTAGTAGTAGTAGTAGTAGTAGTAGTAGTAGTAGTAGGCACAATGGCATAGTGGTTTGCACTGTTGTCTCAGACCTCTGGGGTTGTTGGTTCAAATCCCACCTCTGCCCTGCTTGCATGTCCTCCCCATGCTTCAGGGGTTTCCTCCCCCAGTCCAAGGACATAAGCTGCAGGCTGTCTGGCATTTTCAGTTTGTGAATGTGTGTGTGATTGTGCCCTGCAATGAGTTGGCACCCTGTCCAGGGTGTCCCCTGCCTTGTGCCCTGAGTTCCCTGGATATTTCCCAGGCTTCCCCATGACCCTGTGTAGGATAGGCAGTACAGAGGATAGATTGATGATTATTCTTCTTATTATTTTAAAAGTGTGGTCCAGTTGAAAATTTACCAGAAATTGGAAAGATGTGTGGAGGATACTAGTGGAGGCAAAATGGAGCCCAAAAATGACAGTGTAAGCTTTTCCTCCCTGAAAACAACAAGCATTATTGGAGATACAATTTGGAATCATGTATTGTGTTCAGACAAGACCAAAATCAAATTCTTTGGTAATCATCATATTTGGGGGGAAAAAAAGGAATATATACACAAGGAAAAACTCCCATGCCCAGTGTATAGACAGATTGAATTCCACTAAGTATCAGGATCTTTAAGCCCAAACCTTGGTTTCCTCTGGCAAGAGGTTAAACATGGCCATATGATGGATATTTCAACAAGATACTAACCCTAAACATACCTGAAAATCAACACAGAAACGCATACTGGACCTCAGATGCAAAGATGTTATAAATATAAAGGGGCTTTTAAAGGTTCTGCATGGACCATGATCCCTCTACAAGTGTTCTTCTCCCTGAAACAGTCCTGTCTTGTGATCAGTAGCTGAGTATTTTAAAACTGCATGCACTGAGCAAACACGACCACAAGATGGCAAGATCCTGCAAAACACAGGACACATTCCAGTAAATGAAGCCTTTTTTCTTTTTTCTTCTTTTTCTTTTTTTCTTTTTTTGTAAAGCATCATTATTGTTTCTAATAAAACATGTGAAAGTTTAAAATATTAATTTTAAAACATGAGCCCAGGCTAAGAGCATTTAAAAATGGCATAATAGATAGATAATTTTTTTTGCCCATTAATTCAAACCACCAATTTTTGGGAAGATTTATATTTATTTTACAAAATCTATAATTTAAGCCCCTACTCTCAGTATAGATTGGGCAAATAAAGCATTGACATGAAGCAAGGTGGCTGCATAACAACCCTGTGTATAATTCTTGCTCTGAAAGAAAGTGTTAGGATTAAATGCAATGTCTTTCCTTTTCATTTTTGTTGTAACTCTTCTTAAATTTATGCAGTTCATATTCTAGTTGTGAAATACAGTGATTACAGTTATGCTTCAGATGTGCTGTTTTGGAATAGTATTTAAGAGAAATCATGTTTTTTTTGGACTGCAGTAAAATGAAAATGCAAATACCTTTGACCTACAAGCATGTTGAATGTGTCTAACGTTAGGCGAGTATCATTTCTCACATTCTGTTGTTTAGTGTTTTAACGAACACCCTTTAAGTAATAATGCAAAGAAAATGGATGAAATTGTTTTCGAAACTTGTTTCCCATTGCATCTGTTAATATTACTAATTAGATATGAATTAATTATTATTAGAAATGTCTAATTTCTAGCAGAAATGGACCTAGCCATGTACATACAATATACAAATTGTGTGCTATATACATTTTTTTTTGTTATAAAATATAGAACTTTATTTAGTCAACAACAACAATAAAAGAAAAAAAAGCACAGTAAAGTCAGTACCATAACATTAACTTTGAAGTACATCTATTTCCAATAATATTTTATACACAGAAAATATTAGAAAAAAACATAATGAAAGACAAACCACAGTGGTATATAATGCATTACAAATAGAACCCCCGCTATTGTACAACAGTCATTTAAAGCAGCCTGCTTTATCACGTGTCAAGCAATTACACAAGAAAGGCAGGAGAGACATGAGATTGAAGTCCACTTAGCTTCCTATCGCCTTGTCTTGTGCATAAAGTAGTTCTCTGTTCCTTTAAATCAGTCTCTATGTTCCTTTGTGGTTTTCACATAAAGTGATTCTTACATAAAGGACCATCCATAAACATCTACACAACAACATAACTGGGTTTTAACTAATAAAGCTGTACAGTACAAAAACATTTCATGCAAAAATGAGAACAATTCTCCTAAACCTCTGGGACGACAGTCTAAATGACCGGATAAGGTGGTTAAAAGTGCTTGCCTTGATTTCTCTGTAATAAAGATGCACAAGGTTATCACAATATGGCATACTCGTTCAATATGCTTTTAATTTAGAAAAAAGGAAACAACGTCCTGATTTGAATCCTATGCATTCGGTAATTTAGTGTATTTAGTTCTTGTGCGTGCAATAATTGTATGTACTATTTACATATAACTTGCTAACGTGAGTAAAAGCATATGGTTACTATGTGGGATGTCCTTTTGGGTTAGAATCAGAAATCAGACCTAGTGACTTACGGAAGAATTTTGCACATGTAGTCATATAGACATGGAAGATCAAGACCATTACAAAGACATAAAGCTGATGGTTTAAACCTCCTGTGTAGAGCTGAGATGATTCTGATCAACTGTACACACTGTTATCCTACTCATGTAACGACTATGTGAATTTTCTTTCCTCAGCCAAGTACTCAGAGAGTTATTATTATAATTAAGTTTGACTACATAAATATTCAAACATTTACAAGTATAGCTAAAGCAGGGGTGTCGATAAAGATTGTAATCTGGCCATCTAAATGAATTTAGAATCCGTTCTCTAAAGCAATATTGTCCTGTGAACCATAAATGAACTGAAAAATTTAGTCACTGTTCTCCACTAGGGGGCAAAATAGAGCAATAAACTGATAAAATGTGCTAGCCGTTGACAAAATGATTTGTAACTCTTCATGAGCATGCTAAAAAATTTGACATATAATCCCGATTAAGTCTATTCTAGGTTGTAACATTACAAAAAGTGGAAAATTTCACCCAGGAGGTGAATACTTATCCAAGCCACTGTTTTGAAAAACCATAATCTGGAAAAATTGCTCTTCTTGTAATGAATTGCAAGTTTGTTCATCAGGTTTGTAGGAGATACATGTTCAATCCGTTTGTGTATTCACAGTGTAACTTTCAGATAAATGCTTATAGAATAAACACCTTTAAGAGGAGTTGTTCATGTGTTATTGGTCTACCAAACTGCTCTGTTTTGTCCGGCCCACTCTGGACATTGGACTAAGTGTAATTTGTCCCATTACCTAAAATGAGTTTGACACCCCTGAACTAAAGCATACGTAAAGTGTGACTGATTAAGAATACAGCTCGTATCCATGGAAACTGCTTGGTCAGTAAAACCACTGGTGTTACAGCTAATGTCTCATTGAATATTACATGGTGGCCTATTAGGAGCACCTACAAATGAGGTGCCATGAGTATTTATCCACTCAGTATATACAGCCTGTAACTGTGCTTTCACCTTCCCCCATAATACAATCACACAGTTCATTAGGACAAGAACACTATAATAAATATGCTATACGAAGAATAACAATAATAAAATATCTGCACAGAAGAATCATATACACAAAACTGTTTTTTTTTCCTCTCTTTTTGTGCTCTCAGTACAAAGATATCCACAGAGTCTAACTATGTACAAACTACAATAAATACTGCCTACTCTCGCTGCTCTAATGTGTCCATTTAGTCCATCGGTCACACTGTAGTTTAACTTATTTTCACGTGTAATGTGTTTCAGCGGGTTGGAGTTTTTGCTTGAGTCTCGTGGATGCATGTACTTTATGTGTCTGTGTTTCCAGCCTCCTCAGCTTCCTATTCATGTCTCGGCTGAGCTCCTCTGGGTCTCATGGTGTCTCCGGTTACGCGGTTTGCGCTGCTCCTTCGGTTCGTATGGGTCTTTCTTGTCATGCTCAGCGAATTGCCAGTAGTCCTGGCAGTACTGGTTGATTAAGCCCATCTCAGGCTGGCTCAGGATGGTCAGCAGGTCTTTGTACTGCTCAGCACTGGGTGTCCAGGCACTGGTCTGTAGGGGAACAGCAGGCAAGGCAGGTATAGAGGCTCCGGTCTCCATTTGGATGCTGTTGACAGTGCGCACTGAGAGCACAAGCAACTGCAGCTTGACCAGCGTATGCTTGAAATTCTTCTCTGTGGCTGTGCACTGGTAGGTGCCAGCGTCTGAGAGCTGCAGGGAGCGCAAAAGCAGGCCCTGATCTGTGTGCAACACACGGCCATCTGAACGAATCTGATAGAAACAAAGAGTAAACATATCAATAATAATAATAATAATAATAATAATAATAATAATAATAAAAACAGATGTATTAATATAACACCTTTCTCAAACCTAATGACATTTTATGATGTCATTCAACCAATATGTACTTGGTATTAACTCCTTTTGACATTAAAATACATTTTAGCTGTGATCAGACTAGATGTTTTTATCCAACTGCCAGTGCATATCTTATAGGTCTAGGCTCATAGGTCTAATCCTATGGGAAGTGGTTGCAAGGTGGTCTGAATTCTGCCATTTTTTGACAGAATGGCGTGCTTTCAAATATTAAAAACTACATCAAGCACTTTTTTTATGTGATACTCAATCAGGCGATGCTCAAACCAAAAAAATTACCTGTGCTCTTGTTACTGAGGGAATATAAGAAAATGTATATATTAAATTAAAGCTATTTCAATGTAAATATTTCAGTGTTCCAGTGTAACTAATAATATAATATAAAAGCCTTGTCTTGTAATATAATACAAAAACCTTGCCATTATTAAACAAAATCAATAATAAATTTACTCTAGCTCACTAGATAAGCTAAAGTACAGTAAAGTATAAAGTGGTAAAGTACAGTTAAGTGTACATGAATCCACTCTAACATATTCTGTCCAGTGAAAGTAATAAAGGACACCAATAAAGGTAAAAAAAAAAAAGAAAAAAAAAAACCCAGCATAAAACATCTCATACAAACTGGGTTGGAAGAAAAGCTACAAGCATTAGTGCTTGTTGTACATTTCATACGAGGTGGAGTGTGTACG